CAGGCATATTTTAGCTCTCTGGCCTTATGTTTGACACCCGTGCGCTACAGTGATTCTGTCATTACCACTACAGTGCTCTAAAGCCAGATATTTTATAAAGCTAAAAAACATATTGAAGATTAAAATTTAAACCAGATTCTGTCTTTTGCTTCTTATATCTTACATATAAAATATAGACATTTAAAGCTTTAAAGGATGAAAATCAATGCTTAACTCTACAATTAGTTTCAGTATATTCCACAGTATAAAAATAGACAACCTTTTTGTATGCATGTGCTTACTTACAGTGCTAAAAAAATAAAATAGAATCGAGATTGCTGCTTGCGTGCACATTCTCGTCCTCCCTAACAGTCAGACTCATCAATATGTACCACACCCACATGCAAGTAAAGGAAATGAAGTCTCTGAGGGAAGTAAGTTTGATCACAAATGTACATCCCCAAAGAAGAAAATCTAAATCAGTAGCGTGCACTTTAGATAATAAAAACAGTATAGAGGCACGGAAATTGTATTGTTATATGGTTGCTATAAAGTGAAACTCTGATATTGTTACAATACTACATAGCCCTTGTTCTATATAAGGCTAGACCTGAATTTTTGTGCCAATTATTTTTATGAAACAAAAATAATTTCCTTTTTTTGAGTCATGCTATGAACAATCAATATATTTTTCTGTTCAATAATGAAAGCTTAATTTGATAGTTTTGCAAAAACTAGATATATTTAGACATAGATATTTTATAATACTGACACCCTCTCAAGTTCCTCTTATCACCACTGTCTCTTTAGATTACTGTAATGTTTTGTATTTAAAGATTTTCAATACATGGAGACATGGTACATGGTACATAGTTGGAAGGAAGAATATGGTGTGTCATGGTCGTAAAAAGTTTCCAGTTTTGTGTAGCCCTGCATAAAACAAGGAGGCATATATAATGACTGCATAAACTACTAAATCATTTGGGTTCATAAATCCAGTTCTACAGGTTTTGTGGGGTTAATAATTAAGAATGTATTACTTTGTGAAATTTTCACACTGCATTTCTACGACAGAAAGGATCAAAACATTTTAGTTATAAAGTTATTTTTAGAGTCAGAAGTTGATTGAACTCATGACACATTTCAGCAGGTAGTTTGATTCACAGAGGATAAAGTGCAAATAAGGAAAGGGCCATCACAAAAATATGTCAAGGTCATATGGTTTCACTTTATATTTTACCGTCAATTTATTTGTGGGTTTTTAATACTAAAAGAAATATTTTTTAAATAGAAAAATGTGGCTGTGCATACTTACAGTCATTTTGCCACAGGTTGTACTCATTCATAATTAAAGAACTAAAGACAAAATCAGAAGGCACAAACTTGTCTTACCAGATGAAAATAGTGTAACACAAATTATCCAATCCATTGTGTTGCTTCCATGAAAAAAAACCCTAATTTGTCTGATACAGCAGTTGTGGTATTACTTCTGCTCTGTGTCACAGGAGTTGTTTAATCCAAAATACAACAGTCATAGGGTGACTGATGAAAGGTAAGGCAGGTAACGTTTTCATGGGAGGAGCTACAGTATTGACAGCACTGTCTGTTTTATAAGACACACTGCTGTGGTGGTGGTGTTTAATCTCGATCCATTTGTTCAAGTATTTTTTTCTAAGCGAAAAAATGTAAATCAATATAAACTGTTAATGATTAAATAAACTGAATCGTGTTTAGAAGATAAAATGCCTGTGTTCATGAGAAGCTTAGTATCACACTGGAGTGGAAACTGTGGGACAGCAGGTTGAATGAAACACATGCTTTTTGTGAAAGGAAGGAAAATGTTAGGATTGAAAATGTTTGATTTCTTTTTGATTTCTTTTACTACAATAAGTGATTATAATCATTTTCATACACACATTGCAAATGTGCTCATGAGATTTGGCACTCAGTCTTCTGACAGTCATAAGCTTCGTTCGGCGTGACTGTCCGGACTGATATATTGTAGGAAATGACTTAAATTGCAGAGGGGTAACTGCAAACACGCTTACACACATAGATCAGAGGGTCCCGGACATGATATTCTAAACCAATTTTGAATCACTAGAATCACTGGCTTCAAGTCTGCGAACAGACTTGAAGCCACATATTTTGCTGAGACATTGGCTTTACTCAGTTACTGACTTTTGTTTTCAGATGGATCTACTTTAAATTAAAAAATGGGGATTGCTGATTCACGTTATCTTCTAGTTTAAGATCTAAATAAAATCCGTCTAAAAATAATTCATTTATGTGCCTTGCCTTAGAGTATTTGTTGCTGCATTTAATTAATTCTAGTTGGGGGGGTTTTTTTGGTAGTCTTTGTCTCTTGTTCATTGTATTTACTTTCACTTCCCTTGTCTAATTTTGTAGTATTAGTTATAGCTGAATTCCCCAAATGTTTCCTCTTTCATCACTTCTAGTATTTATCTTGGTTTCCCCTTGTCCTTTGACAAGTTCTCCTACATAACTGTGTTTTTCCTAGTCCTGGTTTCTCTTGTGGTTTCTAGTGCTTCCCAGGGCTTCCTGGATACTTGTATTCCCTGTGTTTGCGTTCTTTATGTCTCATTCACTTGCTTTACTCCTCGTTTTTTTTTTTTTTAGCTTTGTCTCCATTTGGGATTCAAAAGCATTAAAGCCTTGCCTTTTATTTGCTGCCATTTCCTCCAACACTTTAGCTCAGAGGGTATAAGCACTGTCAGCAGATGTGGAGAGACAGCTGGATTTGGACATGAACAGGTGCTCCTTGTATTCAGTTCAGTGTGATGAGTCTGTGGACTGCAGTGATACGGCACAGCTAGCTGTTTTCGCACGCATGGTGTCTGATGACTTTTTCACAAAAGAGGAGTTTTTGACGTTACTGTCACTGAAAACCACCACCAAGGGAGTTGACATTTACAATGCGGTGAAGTGGTACTCTTTGGAAAAAAAGAAAAAAATCCACTTGGGATTTATTGGACATTGCAAAGCAAACCCAGACTTTCCTAAAGTACTGAAACAGATAAACATTTAAATGCCTCCATTGGTGTGAACCTCAGTGGAAACATTTCTGCATAAAGCTCTCAGGTTGAATCTATGCAGTGCCACTGACAGAAACTGTGCAACTCATTAGCATTAATAAAAGATGGTGGATTTATGAGCTCAGAAATCTGCACTGTTTGTTGTTAATTTGTTTTGATAAATTGTGAATTTAGAGAAGTTCAAGTCCTCCAAATATGCTGGATCACATAACTCACAGAACAAAAAAGGTTGGAGACCCCTGCTCTGTCCTATAATTAACAATATAAATCATTAAATGCTGTGTTGATGGTTCTGAACGATAAACTTGTAATGTTTAGAGTCCTAAGCTTTTAATCATAAAAAGAGAGAGAATATATAACTAGTTATGCATTCAACAATATGTTGTTTTTCTAATAAAAGAAACTGGATGATTATTTATGTATGAAAAATGAAATGAATTTTATTTGCATACTACATATAATGAATGATAATGATGAAGCAAAAACTTTATCTTTTATAAATATTACACATTTTACAATTTATTGAACAACGGCATTCACATTGTTATTGGCACTTTGCACATCTACAGCAGTTAAGTGCTTTTAAGCATATAAAATATATTAAATTTCATTCATTATCCATTACAGGGAGACATGAAAAGTTTTTTACTGTACAATAATGTCTACAAACATACAGTTTGTAAAAATATAAATACAGAGATATTTCATGGTGGACAATTATTATTATTCTTTAAAAAAAATAGTACAGTCACTCTAAAAACGTTCATACCATAATTCTTTACAGGACTGTTTCAGAATCACTCTACATCTCCTCAGGTACTTCACTATATTCAACCTCAACCATTTTATTTGAGTATCCTTTTTCTATATTGTGCATTAAATTTAACTTGAAAGCAAATGACTGTATAGCAGACACTTACTACTATAAGTGTCTGTTATACAGGATAGTAATTCACAACCTTTTATAGTGTGGCCTCTCAAAACACTGTCTTCAGGTGGTCTTCAGGTGCTTGTGTTAAATGTAAGTACAGTTTAATTTGAACAATTTTATTTACTTTTTGGGTCCAGAAAAAGAGAATAAACAATTTCAGATTTACTTTTCAGATCTCTTCAGTTCATTTCATGTTCCCATTGCGAGGGTCCTACATAGCAGACAGGTCTGGCCCAGATCTGGTGTCAAGCCGGCACTGCTGGCTGACCTCTGGAATGGTAAGTGGTATGTCATCTAGATATGGGCCAGGCCTGGCGTAGATGGCACTGTTTATGTGATAGCATGCCACATCTGGCCCGATTGTGGTTTGGTTTATGTGGCCCAGGCTCATAGAAAACAGGTCTGGCCCGGATCCGGCATCAAGCTGGCACTTCTGACTGACTGGTGTCATGGCAGGGTGTATGTCAACCAGATGTGGGCCAGGTCTGGCAATGATGGCACTATTTATGTTCCTATTTTCCTATTTTAGTTAGTAGACCCAAATGCCATGTTGCGATACTATACTGCTATGGTAGCCAACTTTATCCAAAACCTAGTGAGGGTTTACTCATGTTTACCACTGGGTGGTTGTAGCTCAGGCGGTAGAGCAGGTCACTTACTGATCAGAAGGTTAGTGGTTTGATCCCTGGCTCCTCCACTCTGCATGTCAAGAGTTTTAATGTGTATGAATGTGGTTAGGAAGCACTCAGTTTGGAGAAAGTGTGTGATTGGCTGAATGTGGCATGTCGTATAGAGCACTTTGAGTAATCTCTGATAGTAGAAAAGCACTATATAAGAATCAGTCCATTCGCTGTCCGAACAGAGTTTGTCATGTTACCTTTGCACTACTATGTTCCAGCACATGTTGTTATTACATGGCTTGATTAAGGTACACATTAGGCTGACATCTGGGGCCAGAGCTGAAACTGTTCTGGGCCAGCACTGGCCTTGTGTTGGCCCATGTGTGGGCCACCTCTGGCAAACCAGATCTGGGCCACCAAAGGGCCGTCATTCTTTGCGGTATGTGGGCCATGTGTAAGCACACTGTGTGGGCCAGATCCGGGCCATACTGATTTTGCTATGTCAGGTCCTGCCCACCAGGTAGGAACTTCTATTGTAAGTAAATGGGCGAGCAGGGGAGGGATTTCAGACCTTCTTTGAAGATTAGATAGAGATCTACAAATATGAACCTTTGTTTTTATCCTGTGGGTACGTCTCCACCTGCACCATCTTCCGGTTCTTCAGTGTTTACCTTGCTATATTTACTCTTGAAAAATCCAGCCTGGAAGTGCAAGGAAAAACATAAAATTCAAGTAACTGTGCATAAAAATTATATTAATGAAAAGAAAATTTAATTATTTGTCCACGTTCTCTAATAGCTTTTCTTATGAAAAAAATTAATTGAAAAAGTGTGATCAGCATCTCACCTTATACAGGACAACTGTGAGTAAAATCAAAAAAAACAACCCTCCCAGACATCCTCCAATGATCTCTTTGATAAAATCTGGCTCAGGGTACACTTCTACTTCTGCCTCAATCTGAAAGATGAAGTGACAGTTTGTGAATAAAATGGAAACTACTATTATTATTATTGTTATTATTACATCAAGATTACATTATATACTATATATATTACAAGTGCTCACCTTGTGAACAGGAGAATTGTAGTCAGACCCTGTTGAAAAGTAGACGTACTTGCTTCGGTCGTACTTCAGACTGACTTGGCTGGTCAAGAGGAATTTAGCAGACTGAAGTCCAATCTAAGAAAAAATCAAGAGGGATGAGCTGAATTTGAAAATGAAAATAAATATATATAGGAAAATATATATGAGTTAGTAGTACCAAATAAGGAAGAAGTGTGACATGAAAAAAAAACCTAATGTAGCACTTAACATAAACTTCCCATCAGTTACCTGCTCTATCCACTGTGAAGTGAGGTTTCCAGAGATTTCATACGTCCTCTTCTCCTGCCTTTCCAGAGATGTCTTGCACTCAAACACTCTACACATGGCCACAGAGCAGTCCTTTGGATCATTTAAAGAAGACTAAATGCAACAAAAGTTGATCCATTGTAATGTTAAATCTTCAATGTTTAGACTAATACTTACCACTACTTTATTTTTTTGGATCTGAGGAACAAAGTCTTTAACATGTGGTTCTTCATAACTTCCTTTCTTACAGTCTGCAATCTATAATACATTTGATTTATGGTCCCAGTGTTACCACATGCATGTTTTACACTGCTAAGCATGAGCCATTTTTGTATTCAATACCTAAAACAACATACAATACTGTGTACAAGCCTTGAGCCACCATCATTTCTCTATGTTTTGCAGGGAAAATGGAAAATAGTTGCAACAATTCACTGAAAAATGCAAACATACATCGATATATAGTAAATAAGACACAGTGTGTAGACTTTGGCTTGAAAGTCAATATTTGGTATGACCTCCTCCTTTAATATTCAACACAGCAAAACCTTTAGAAAGCCTGAAGAACTATTATTCAAGACCACTTACATTTATCTTTGATAGCAAAATATAAAGAAATGAAGGGTGACTTAAGACTTTTGCACAGTACTACATATATATTACCTGTAGGTTGTTCGGATGCACCCAAATGTCTTTTCCCCCAAGCTTCACTGGAACCTTGATCCACACAGTGAAATTATGAAGTGCTCTGATATCATTTGTTAGCTAAACAAGAAAAGAAAACAAGAGCTAAGCATAATAGTTGGATCTAAATCATAGAATTACCTTTACAAAATACAGATATATACACATGTTCATGTTCTACCGTGATTGATTGCTGGACTGGTTTCTGCAAATCATTCTTCCCAAATGTGAAATTGTTGTAGCTGGGGGAGCTAAACAGACATATTTTAAAGATTGATTAAATACCATGTATTAGAACAGTTGTCACTTTCTATTTTTTTGTTTCCTTTTCTGTTACAAAGAGAACAACGCATACCCTTTAATTGTCATAAAAATGCTGTATTTTACATCAATCAATTTCTTTTTGTAGAGTTCACTTGTAGGTGCATGCTCCTGATTTCCACTGAAAGAGAGAAGTGAACATATTTATACTGTATCTGTGGGTCTACTGCTTAAATGAAAAGTACATGTACCAGAGAAACAGTACCTGGTGGCATTTGCAGTGACAAAGATCTTCCTCTCAAATTGACTATTGGTGTCAATCCCATAGAAGACAATGAAGGAAGCCTTAATGTAATGTAATGAGAGAGATGAGTGACTTCTCTTTGTCCGTAAGTTGTGCAAAAGTCAGAAAAAACAAATTGATAAAAGATTTTTTGTACAAATAAAATTAAAAAACAAACCTTAGTTTGGCTCTTGAAAATGGGCTTGTCAATAGTACAGTCTGTCCTTCCTCGTGATAAACCATCTTCACTGTCCAAGGACTTGCACTCAATTCTTCCCTTTTATTAGGAAAAAAAAGATTCTAGATGCTTTTGAAGAGCAGCAGATCAGTGATGAACTGATACAGACTTGATCCTGATGCCTTACCTGCTGACTCGTGAACTTCCTGTAGGAGAGTCCAGCTGGGTACGTGAGAATAACACGGCTTTTGTAGGAGTTTTCTCCTCTGTTCTCCACTGTGACTGTGACATTCAAAAGCTCATCAATGCCCACTTTAACCTCTGAGGATCTGTGGAGTATGAAGCCAGATGAGAATAAAAGGAGAGGAAAACAAGACGACAGCTGAGCTAAAAGCACAAAATGCTAAATTTATGGTAGTTTTCAATTGAATGTTAAAATGGTAACAACTTACAGATCCTAAGGGATGTAGTATATTTACCAAGTTAACTTATTGCATTAACATGTTAGCATCTACTGATTAGCCATCCACTCACTTTCTACTGCTATCACAGCTAACATTGGGCAAGGGCCAGCAGTATACCCTGGACAGATTGCCAGTCTGACACAGGGTAGGATAATGCTTAAAACTCGGCATTAGGAGGCAACATGGTGTTTATGAAATTGTACAATATTTCAGCTTATGACCTAGTAAAATTGGAAATAAAATATATAAAACGAGTTCAAATAGAGAAAAGTTAATTTTTATTTACATTGGGAGGTTTCTTAGCAGATAATCTCAGCCATTATGAGTGATTCTCTGATCAGTTATATTTCATTATATTGCAGTCTTTTAAATAGCCATGCTTTATTGTGCACCACAACATGATGAAATAGCATAAAAGCTCAACCTGACATTTGTACAGTCATCCCACTAACAGGGGAAAGACAGACTGCACTGAGTATTGGTTATTTAATCATCGTAGCAAGCAGAAAAATAATTTTACACATGGAGTCTCCAAATAGACATGAAAGAGTATTAGGGCCACATTACAAAAAATATATATTATTCATTATTAAAAAATTAAGTCTAAATTTTGAGAAACAGTTGAAATACTATTTGGGGAAAAACAGTTTAAATGTGCAAATAGCAGTTGTTGCTACAGATGCTATACCCTCTACAAGATGCCTTGAGTAGATGAATTAGTGAACCATCGATATCTTTACATCTGTCCATTACCTGCCTTTTCATTTTTTACTAATCCACTCTTCCTCTTGGTTCAAGGACTTTTGGACTCCTTTGTGCCTCTTTGTTTCATCATTTGTGTTTCTTGTTCCTAGTGTCCTATTCATTTAGTCTGTTTCCTTTTGTGTTCTGTTTGGCTTAGTGTTACTTCTGTATGTCCTCCCCAATTAGGCGAGTGATGTCGTCATGTTGTGTATCTGCCGGTTTCTCTAGTGATGTCTATGCATGTCTGTTTGTTTGCTCTCTCGCCCTCTTTCCTCCCTTGCTTTCTCTCTCCTCCCTCTCTTGCTTGGGTTCCATCATTTTGGGTCCCAGTGTTTGTGTTCCTTGTACTTCCTGTTTTACTTGGATAGTTTTCTGTCTCATGTGCCTCATATTCAGTTTTGCTTCCACCTGTCCCGTCTATTTGATTGTTGCCAGCCATGTTCCCAAGGTGTTTCCTCTCTGCCCTGATTCCCTTGTGTATTTAACCCTCTCAAGGCAGGCGTTGCAGATTTGCAACAAGTAAAAGCTAACAACCTGATTACCCCACATACATATTTTATGAGTTTGTTTTACTCAGAAGTACCACTGCAGGTATTTTTTTTGTGCATTAGCAACAAAAACTTAATTTGAGCCTGAGAGTGTTAATGTCTGTGTCTGCCTCTGTCTGGGGTCGTGTTCTCCCTCATTCCCCACTCCCTCATTGGGTCCCCCAATTCTGCCTGCTTTACACAGTGCATGACACGATTCTGAAATACGATTTCATTGACTCAGAGGGGACAGTAGCCATGGCAGTTTGTCTTGAAACAACACTTGTAATCTCCACGTTTTGAATTTTCTCAAAATAATAAATAACATTTTTTCTTCTGTGTCCCTCATACGCCATCGTAAACAGATTTACTATTTGTGTTAGTGTTTTTCTCATCTTTTTTATTTTTGTTTCTTTATTTCTCTTTCCAGCTTTGTTGTGACTTATTAATCATAAGGAAGGAAAATTTTGACAGAGTGGCTTTAAATTTTATTCAAATGTTTCAGTAGAACAGTGTTTTTATACTTCATGTACAAGCAATTAAAAGTAGCACATTTCCAGGCACACAACTTGTCAAATTCTGGGGTTTTTTTGTGAATTTGAGTTTAATCATAAATATGTCTGAGTTAGATTTTCAGCGGATGTTTTAATACTTATATTTTTAATTTTGGATTATTGTTTTGGTTTTATTTTGGTGTCCAGTCTTGGTTTTATTATTCTTGGAATGCTTTTAAGTTTTGTGACATAATTGTCTTTTTGGTTTTGGCTCTAGGTTATTCTCATTCTTGCCTCCCCAGCGTTTCCCCGAGTGTGGTTTTTTCTTCTTTCTGTATTTCGTTGCACTCTGTTGTTATTTCCTCAAAGAGATTTTTCCATTCCCTTGTGTTTTGGGATTTGGTCTTTTTTAGGAATGTGTTATAATTTTTAACTTAGCTATTACCATTAAATTAGGCTTTTTGTTGATCGTGTCTGCTTGCTATGTTCTACATGCTGGGTCCTTTCAAATCCATGAGCCACACGGTCGCCTGACTGTGACACAAGTAAAGCTTAACTTTAGTAACTGGG